CCAACTTAGTCCCATCTACACAGGCAAAACCAGACCACATTATAGTATTTGCACTACTGCTGTTTTAACTTATTTCCTTAATGTGGTAAATTTTGTATGGTAGATGAATCTTTACAAAAAAGATACTAACCTCAGAACCATTCCCACTGCCCAACTTTGCATTATGCACATTTCAACTAATCAGCCAGTCTGTGGTTACAGAAGACCACCAAAACCAACCACATTTTTATGATGATACACAAATATAATATTGGACAACTAGATAGAACTGCTGAAGATACCGATTAAAAATAAATTCTTTACTTGTGTCACCAACATCTCTGGCATATTAACGTAAAATAATTTTACAGGTCTAATTTTCACTTCACCATTTATGCTGTTTACTTGTAATATTTCACTCAGCTTTGACAATTAAAGTAGACTAATCAGTTTTATTTCCTGCTGTGGAGTCTGAGTTTTCATTACTATACAAGAAAATGTGTGCGGGGCGGGGAGGGGGCCCCCGCTGGAAATCATGAAAGCATTTCTGTTAACATTGCATTAAATTCATCTTTGGGCTAATGCAAGTCCCACCACTCCACTTAAGCTCTAAACAGGACCCACACAAGTATGCCTGTAAAACCCCTACGGGCCACAGAAATGGTCTCTGTGCCAGCCCCACATAGGCCATCACAGAACGATGGGATTAGGAAGGCCGAGGGCTGGCCAAGGAAGGTGCCATGCTTTGATGTAGTTTCAATGGCCCAATGCACTAACTAAATAGCCTGGAAGGACTGCAACCTCTGTTTCAGCCTGAGCACTGTGTTGGGGATGAATTTCGCCTCCCCAAAACCTTCACACTATCTAATATATGTAGATGGAATGAATTTGGACTCCCTTAAACTCCCTCCCCGCCAATAAACACTACATTTTGGGACTAACATAACTGGACTATATCCGTTTAGAACTTTGCTCCAACTAAGACACAAATGAAAAAAATGCTAAGACATGCTATTACTATGTTTTCAGAGTGTAAAGAATTGGCAAGAATGACAATATATACCAGTAATTCATTAGAGAATGAATAAAACATAATTATTATATCTCATTTTTGTATTTAAATATATCTTTTTTATAAAGAAGTTTCCTTATAGTGTTCACATTTGCAATATTTCCCTATGTGACAGATTCTATCTCATCATTACATCTATAGTAAAATATCAAAATACAATGACAATGTCAGAATGTTTGCTGTAACTCTGATTGCATATGAGGGAGCAGCTCAGCAGGATTCCATCAGGTGTAACAGCTCAGGAAGCTGGAGTAAATGTGGAAGCTAATAGTACATAGACCTACGGTATGAACCATGCTTAACAATTCATTTAGAAAACTTGGGCTCCTCTTGTCAAGAGCTTAGGAGAAGAAGGAATCCAACAGCCACATGTGCAAAACAAGACAGAGGACAACCCAGTCAGCAGCAGCAGAAAGACAACCTTGTCAGAATGTGGCCAGAAAGAAGAAAAGAAAAGACAGGCGTCAAAACAGCAGCTCCCATCAGACCAGGAGGCAATGTGGAGTGGCTCATGAGCGCTAATGGGAGGTTAATTCTAAACAGGGAATGAGAGGAGGGCATAAAAGGGGCAAAAAATAGCAAAAAGGACCGCAAAAGAAAGAGGACAGAACAAAGGCATAGGTGCAGAAATAAAAGAACACCACAACCGAGAAAAAGAAAAAAAAATCATCATGTTACATCTTGGTATTTTGATCATATGTTTATTTTGTGTACATGTTTCCTTACATGACAGAGATGCTTAACAGCAATCACTAACATCTGTGACTCCAAACGGTAACTTCTGATCACTGTGTGGCTCATGTCAAAAGGTCTGACTGTCCTGATTACACAAGAGACCATTAAAGTTATGTTAGATCAAAAAGATGTCCTTTTTTCCTAATATATTAAATGGATTATAATTAATCTATTTGGTAAGCATATGCAAAAGAATATATATTTAATCAGGTAAATAAAATCTAAAAAGGGTTTATATGGAGTTATGTATACAGAAATAGGTATGTATCCAAGGTGTGGAGTGGTCCTTTGCACAGATATACCCCTTTCCTTCTCCCTCCCCCACCCCCAAAAAAGCATAAAATGTACTGAATGGAAACTTTAGTGCACTGTGACTTTTCAACATAATGGTATGTGTTATTTTGTTAAACAAATATGTAGTAAATTTAATGGCTTCTGTCTTTGAATGAAACTATCCATAATATTAACAGCATGTTTCTGCGCTTAATTTAGCTAGGTAAAACTGACCAACATCAGTAAAGATCTAGAATTAAACTTGCTCAGGTCACTAGAGGGATGGCGCAACCCATTACGCGACGTAGGCGGTCACCTAGGGTGCTACAATTTGGGGGGCGGCGACTGCGGCGGTATTTCAGCGGCGGGACCTTCCGCCGCCTCTGTGGGGGGCAGCATTTTGGGGCGGGACCTTCTGCCGCCTAGGGTGGCAGAAAAGCTGGCGGCGCTCCTGGGTCACTAGATTCAAGCTCTTGGTTAAAATTTATATCTTCTATCCAATATCTTTAAAAAAAAATAATAATAACAACAACAACAACAACATTACCTGCCATTGCAGTTCATGTGTGAATGAGTCACCAGAGTCAAGATAAGCCAAACAATTTTTAAAAAGTAATTTGGGAAGTCAGAGAATGGAGCTACCCATTAGGATGCTCTGACAATAAGGTAACGCCATCATGAAATGAGTATGTAGGATTACTCATGGAAAGTTACTCATGGAAAATGGATAATTCACTTCTTACATACTTCAACACTGCAGAGAGCAATATGAGGTTTTCCTGTAACACACGCTAGAGCATTAACTTTGCCAGACACTTTATCTGGAGAAATCATCAGTAGCTAGTTTGCAGAACAAAACTCTGTAAACTAATATGAAATCAGGTGAAGAGCTCTAACTAATCATGTTAAACCTAAGTCAGAGTTACAAAGCAAAATATTCAGCAATATAAATGCCTCCTTAATGTATTGTTCAGAATCAAACCATCTATCCCAATGAGGACACAAGTCAATCATCAGTCAAATATAGCCACACAGAACTAAATGAACCTAACTTGAAACAGACAGGATTTAAAAAAAAAAAGTTATAGGACAACCAGTTTTAAATAGCTTTCATTTAACTATAGAATTTGAATTCCTGAATTCCATCAAATCTGAAATAAATGTCTCACGACCTCAATTTTGTATCTTACAGCAACTGTTTTATTTAGTATTTTCGAAAGAATTCTTTTATTCTGTATTTTATTTATCTTGTAAAGATTTTTCAGGCACATGGAATCACAAATTCAGGAGTGAAGTGCTTTAACAGACATGAGACAACCTTTAGCTAGGTAAAACTAGCTACAATAACAGAAGAAACTTCAGAGTCTTACAAACTGATCAAAGTGCACAGAAAGCAGAGTTCTACAAAAAGTAGCATCCAAAATGTAACTAAGATAAACAGAAGCAATCTTTCTAGGGAAGAGGCCCTGATCAACTCCAAGCTGGGAGGCATACCAATGCATGTTTCTTCTCCCCAGTGCCAGCCAAAAAGAGCATGGCCATCTTGTGTCAGATACCAGCTGCTCAGTAAATAATGATAATCTCTGCACTATATAAACACATTTTTCTACCCAGTATTACAAAGCAGATTCTAATGAATAAACTTCTCAATCCTTCCATATCTGGACCCAGCTCAACCTTTGGGTAAAACAGGACAGAGACAGAGTCATACTGATCAATCTGCCAAATCCCAAAATAAGGGACAAATGAATAGTAAAACAGAAAAGCTTAATATAATATAGAAAATAATTTGGCATTTGTAAATTAACACTTTTAATCTCATTTTCTTTATGCCAATAATATACAATAATAAAAACGAGAGGAAACCAGGTCTGTGAGGAGTAGAAATAAATCGGAGTCTGCAGCAATGTTTTACTTGTAAAATTCCTAGAAAGTGGAAACAGAGGAACAGCCCACAAAGATCTCAAAACTGCAGACTGAGGTAGACTGTGTTGCGACATATTTAGCAAATGAGCATGCTGAAAATGCAAAACATATATACACACAGAAAGAAAAATTAAGTTTCTTTATTAAAAAAAGTGTCAGGGTACCTATAATTTGAAAGATACAAGGGGGATAATAGCAACTGCCCTGGCCTCCCCAGCCTACAAATAAATAACTGGTCTGTAATAAGAGGCAGTTGAGAGAGATCTATGGACTCAATCCGGGCTGAGCTGTAAGAAGCTGCCTCTGCCTCTTAGCTATGTCCAAGACCCTCTCTACTCAGCAACAAGCAGCTCCACCTCTCCCTTAAGTTTGAGGAGCCCACTTAGGACTAGATGCTAGGGAGGAGGACAGAAGAGGAGGGGGCAAATGAAGAGACAGGCAATGAATCCCGAGATGCGGAAGGATGGAAACAGAGATAATTAGGCGTCCTTCATTGCTGTTGTATCTCCAATTCCCCCTCAATTCCCTGCCCCCATCCCCCAGGAGACGGGGATGTCAAAAAAAGTTGATCAGCCATTTCCAATATATTTTTGCTCCTTCTACTCCACCAATCCACTGAGCAAGACGTGTTAGGTCTCTTCCTTCCTTCCTACTGCCCCCCACCCCAGACCCCAACTTAGGAGGCGTCTTGTAGAGGAAATCTGAGCCATGGGGGAGGGAGGGGGGGAACCAATTCATTTTCCGTGAATGGTTCTGCCTCCTTCCCTCCCGCCTCCATCAGACTTCCCTCTTCACGGTTAAAGGGGGCAAATAACTACACCCCCCCCCGGAAGACTCCCCACCCACAGCTCCCCTCCTCCTGTCTCCTCCACGGGAGAAGGACCTATTGGGTCCTCCAGCCCCTCCCCCTCTTTCCCCTCGCCCCTCAAATGGAAGGACTAAGCCTGTCAGAGGAGCATTTAAATGCCCCTAAGTCACTTTAACTACCCCCTCCACGCTGTACTTGCCCCCTTACCTCCGAGGGGCCCCAGAAACGGGCAGGGCTGAGGGCTTCGTTCGTCACGGTTCAGCTCAGCTGCCGCCGAGCCCCGAGGAGGAGCCGACTCTGGCACCCACCGACGGACTGACTCACACAACTAACTAACTACTACCAGCGGCCGGCCACAAGCAGAGACCACGCCCCCCACGGCGCGCGACACCAACCGTCCCTCCCCCTTCCTCGCGCGGGGCGCCAACCGTCACTCTCTCTACTGCGCGCACGGAGGAAGGAGAATCTAGCCACTCGCGCGCTCCCGAGCACACGGGACACCGAGCCATGAGCGCGCTCTCGCTATCGCAAAGCGCACGCCGATTGGCTCGAATGGTGGCAAAGGGCGTGGCGCCTCGGGGAAGACACTATCGGTTTGCTGAGAGATGGTCCTAGTACGGTGTACTCAGAGCGAGAGAAGGGGAAACTACGATTCCCAGCATGCATTGCATCCACCCCGCCGCCGGGCCCTTTAAAAATTGCATCACCACGTACGTGAAGATATACTGCCGCCAGTCGGATCAAATAGTTCTGCGCTGGCTTTCTCCCTTTCCTTTCTCGGCTCTCAAGGGTGAAGCGAGAGGAGTCGGTTCACTCCGATTCCACTGTCGATTTCCTTGCGGAGCCTTCCTACGGGGGGAGGAGGACCGGGGAGGTAGGGTGTGAGAGAGGCGGAGAGATCTGTGCGGGGCAAAGGGAAGGGTAAAGCGGCTGTGTGTGTGTATGAGTCTGGAGGAGACTGAGTGGGGTGAGGGGATTGCGCTCCGTAGGGTGACCCCCCCCTCCCGGAAATCCATCCTGCGGCAGGTCAGTAGAGAGGGTCTGAGAAGCCCCGAGACCCACGTATCCCATCTTCCCGTTCGTGCGGTGCGTGAAGGCTTCACTGGGGAAGGGGACACCCCCATACCCTTGCTCCTAAGGGAAGGGGGGCCTGCGTGGGCACTCAAACCCCAGCAGGAGGTGGGGCAGGGGAAACGTATCTTCCTCCAGCTTCCGTCCCTCACCAGCCCCAGCAGCCTTTATTCAATCTCAGCCCCTCCTCCCCACTAACTTCTCTTGTGACGGGAGAGGAGGGGATGAGCTACTGGTCTTCCTAGCCCCCACCCCCACAAGACACCAAAGGAAATCGGGGAGTAATCTCTAGGATAGGGAGCCCGGGCCTCGTGTGGGGATGAGGGTTTGGAGGTGAAAGGAGGGTCAAATGCACCTGGGGCCTCTTCTCATACAACCCCCATACCTGTTAAGGCACCAAAGGGGGGGGGGAGAATGGTGGCGGTCCTTTAATTTCTTTATTCCATAAACCTTGACTGTCCTATGAGATGGTATAGTTGATACTGAAAACTGCAAGATTGAAAATCCACTCCCAACTGGGGAGCTTTAACTGCTAGTTCCTGTAGCATTTAAGCTTCTAGTTCTTGGGTTTGCAAAGAAAATATAACAAACCTGAACAGTCTCTTAAATCTTCTGGTAGACTGCTTTGGGCTTTTTCAGAGCTCAGCAGTTGCAGAATACAATTGACAAGAACAGTCAGTTTCACTGCTACTGTCAGGGACCAATGGGTCAGCAGTAAAACGGATGAGAATGATGTCAGTGCCATGTTCTTTCTGCTCAGGAGAGCTATGAGCAGCTGCTTGCAGGAGGGATGAAGTAGTAGAATTGCACCTACCTTGCTGTGGAAGGGTAAAAATTCATCCTTCCACCCCCTCATAGCAGCCAGGAAGCTTTGTAGGGGGGAGAGAAAAGGAATGTTGGAAGTAAGAAGCAGCTTTAGATTTATCAAACACCTCGTATCTAGAGGCTAAATTGAAAATTGGGACAGCACTCACCTTACCAGCAGATGGAGGCTGGTCTTCTTACTGAGGCATTGCCTCTGAAATTTGATTAAGGAGTGCAAGCATATTTCTCACAGGAGTGTGGGTGATAGGCTTAGACCACTTGCTAGTTGGTGACCATGATTGGTACATTTTTCAAGACCTGATTATCCTTATTTTACAGATGTGGAAAGTGAGGCATGTAGGAATATTAACTTGCTTAAGGCCACATCATAAATCAATGATAAAGGTGGGAATAGAACGTGAGCACACTTACTGTCACTTTAGAATGTTGGTGTGTGGTTCCTGAGAATATTTTCAACATGCGGTTAGGTATATAGATACTTATTTCATTGATTATGATGGGTATTTAAAATGCTAGGAAACTGCAACAGACACAGATAAGCATAGCAACATGCTATTCGGCTGCTACTTCACAATGGAAGGTTAACGCCTTTTTTAGACTTTTATTTTAATGTTTTCTAACAATTTCTGGCAGAGATGACTGGCTCCATTAACAATACTTTGCTTTTCTAAAGCATCTTCTAACCAGTGGTTACAAAATGCTTTGCAAACATTAAAGATTATCCTCATTTTAGGATTGAAGAAACTGAGGCGGGGAGACTTACTTTCCTGTGTTACATTGAAAGTCTGATAGAACTGGGTTTGGAACTCCTGATTCCAAATTCTTGACTTTAACAAGAATATCTTTCCTTGGTTTTGTCGTAAGTCCTTCAGCTCAGGGCTTGAAAAGATTACAAGATACTTTTTAGCTGTTATTATCCCAGAGGTAATTATGGAGGATGAGATGTGTGGGCTGAGCAACAGTGAAGCCCAGGGGCAACATGTTGGAAGAAGCTCAGTTATTCTCCCACCAACAGTTGGGCAGAAGGTGAGGAGACTGAATTTTCTACCAGTTAGCTGTCTCTAGCACCCACAAGTAGGTTTCATCTTTTTTATTCACATCTAGCTGTTAGAAGGGGGTGGCAGGGAGAAAGAACTTTCTATCTTTCCTTTCTTCTGTCCAGAAGCTCTTTGCCATTATCTTTCTCCCAGAGACTACTGGTTTTACTCTACCTTTACACCCCAACTTTCATTTATTCATTTATTTATTGTAAGGGAAGGTCTTTCCTCTATGACATAGCCCCAGTGCTTGCAGTGGCTGCCTCTGTGGCTAGTTTTTTTCTAAGCAGCAACTGCTTGAAATGACATTCTTGACCGTTTCACTGGTGCAAACAAGCTTTTGAATAGTAGCAGTGAAACTGATCAGTCTTTGCCAGGCTGCTGGAGAGCAAAAGGATAGTTATGAAAATTTATCAGACATCTCCTATATATGGGCCTAGAAGATAAGGTGATAAGTAACAGTCAACATGGATTTGTCAAGAACAAATATTGTCAAAACAACCTAATAGTGTTCTTTGACAGGGTAACAAGCCTTGTGGATGGGGAAGAAGCAGTAGATGAGATATATCTTGACGTTTGTAAGGCTTTTGATACTGTCTTACATGACCTTCTCATACGCAAACTAGGGAAATATAGTCTAGATGGAGCTACTATAAGGTGCATGAATAACTGGTTGGAAAACCATTCCCAGAGAGTAATCAGTGGTTCATAGTCCAGCTGGAAGGGCATATTGAGTGGGATCCTGCAGGGATCAGTCCTGAGTCCAGTTCTGTTCAATATCTTTATAATGATTTAGATAATGGCAGAGAGAGTACACGTTTGTGGACAGTACCAAGCTGGGAAGGGTTGCAAGTGCTTTGGAGGATAGGATCAAAATTCAAAATGATCTAGACAAACTGGAGAAATGGTCTGAAATAAAAAGGAAGAAATTCAATAAGTACAAATGCAAAGTATTCCACTTAGGAAGGGGCACAATCAATTGCACACGTGCAAAATGGGAAATGACTGCCTATGAAGGAGTGTGGCGGAAAGGTATATGGGGGATATAGTAGATCACAAGCTAAATATGAGTCAACAGTGTAACGCTGTTGCAAAAAAAGCAAACATCATTCTGGGATGTATTAGCAGGAGTGTTGTAAGCAAGACATGAGAAGTAATTCTTCCACTCTATTCCGTGCTGATAAAGCCTCAGTTGGAGTATTGTTTCCTGTTCTGGGTGCCTCATTTGCGGAAAGATGTGGACAAATTGGAGAAAGTCCAGAAGTGAGTAACAAAAGTGATTAGAGGTCTAGAAAATATGACCTGTGAGGAAAGATTGAAAAACTTGGGTTTGTTTAATCTGGAGAAGACTGGGGGTTGAGGGGTCTTGATAACAATTTTCAAGTATGTAAAAGGTTACAAGGAGGAGGTTGAAAAATTATTCTCGTTAACCTCTGAGGATAGAGCAAGAAGCAATGGACTTAAATGTCAGCAAAGGAGGTTTAGGTTGGACATTAGGGACAACTTCCTAACTGCCAGGGTAGTTAAGCACTGGAATAAATTGCCTAGAGAGGTTGTAAAATCTCCATCATTGGAGGTTTTTAAGAACATGGTAGACAAACGCCTGTCAGGAATGGTCTAGTTATTATATAATCCTTCCTTGAGTGCAGGGGACTGGATGAGATGACCTACTGAGGTCCCTTCCAGTCCTACACTTCTATAATTAGCAGCAGAGTCACTTGAGCTATCTTTCTGCAGACTTACAAAGGCAGCACTAAATTGATCTATACCCATTTGTTGTTTGGAAGGCTCTTTGCAACTATAATGGATGGAAATATATTTATTTTTTTAAATTGAGGTTTAAATTCTTCAGACATTTATATCGTAACTCTCCTCACTTGCTAGGGCAAGCTCATTCATCCTGAAAAAGTGGGTGAGTGGGATGCCGCTATGTCTCACACCGTCATCTTCCTCTTTGCCAGAATGAGAGTTGTATCAGTGCTAATGTTGCTAATGTTAGGTACAGATATTTCCTCCAAGCTGAATTCATGCTTTGCCACTGGTTGAAACAAAGGCTTCAGATAGTAATCTGGAGCATGCCAAGCTCAGAATTCATTCACTTTAATGAATTACTAATACTCTGTAGTGAAGACAAGTGCTGGGTTTTTTTTTTCCTCAGCTAATCTGCCCCTTTGAAATGCCCTCACTGTCATCATTTGATTAGCTGACTTTGATCTCCTCCTGGCTTCAGTGGTTGGTTCCTGTATGAATTCAAGCTTAATTGTTTTGGTGCTGTAATTCCTGTGTGGTGTAGTACATGCTAGAGCTTTTTGTGGGTTTTGAAGTCTTTAATTTTTCTAGGCGCTGAAGAGTTACGTTTCAATTCACTCCCCCACCCCCACCCGAAACTCAATTATTTGCTCAGCTTTAGCTGGAAGTGAAAAGCTCCATATCTCTGCACCAATCTTGTGCCCCTTCAACAATAGCTTTTGCTTCCAGGAAAGTTGGACTATTTTGGTTTCACACTGAAGTGATTAGAAAATGTCTGCCCTTCCCTACTAAAAAGTACTGGTAAAACTAAAAGAACATTAATTTCCCACAAATCTTAGATATTAGACATTAAACTATTGTAAAATCTCCATTTCATAGATTCATAGATTCTAGGACTGGAAGGGACCTCGAGAGGTTATCGAGTCCAGTCCCCTGCCCTGATGGCAGGACCAAATACTGTCTAGACCATCCCTGATATACATTTATCTAACCTACTTTTAAATATCTCCAGAGATGGAGATTCCATA